AGAAGAACCTGGGTCTGATCCATATATGTGGAGGCCAAGATGTCCATGTTTTTAAAGATACAAAACCACCACCCCAATGAATTGCTTTCCTCTTCAGTATACAGTGACATTTAAAAGTTATTTTGTGTTATCCATGGCTGGCCTGGGTGTCAGCATACTCACCAGCAAGTGCTTGGCCACATCCCTGGTTACAGGAACCCACAGCACACAGGGTCCAGCCTCTCCCCTCATCCTGGTTACTTTTAAGGGCAGTATATTGTCTGTGTGTTGGGGCAGTTGCTGGAAGGGTAACCTGGGAGGCCATGGCCACTACGGACCTTGTCCCTGCAGCATGTGCAGGGGTGCTCAGCCCCCATCTGCACGTCATGAATGCTCCAGGGCCCCCCGGAGAATATGCGCAGCTGAGACTGCTTCTGTTGAACTACTGACCACTGACAGGAGGGGCTCAGAAAACAGGCTGCAGCCCAGGCTCCCTCTGTCCCCAACCCTCCTTCTAGGACAGGGGGTAACATGAACCCACAGGAGCCACAAGCTGTCCTCAACAGCTCCACCACCAGGTTCACATTAGATAGAAAATGCCCCACTCTTTCCCCCCCACAACACAGAAACCAAGAACAAGCAGAACCAGGACAGACAGCAGAGGCCACCCAACGTCTCAGGGCTGTTAAACAAATGGGGAAAACAGAGGACTAGATTCTGCAAACTGTAGAATTGTAACTACTACTTGGGGATTTAACCCAAATATGAAAGAACTAAAACATGTGGAAAGAATGTGGTAGCACTGAGAACTTACTAGGTCCCGAAAGTGCCTGGGGGCAGCTTGGTAACTTGAGGAGGTGGGCCTGACCACCAGGATAGGAGGGGCAAGCAGAGGCTCAGACATCTCTTGACTTGGTGGAAAGGGAGGAGTCGCAGGCAGGAAAGGTCAAAGAAATGAACTTTTCCCAACAAACACAAGTGACAGGTTTCAAGCTAGTAAGTGTTAACCCAACGAATTAGAAAAAATCCTACTCACACACCACCTCACTCAGTGCCAGCTCACTTATCTCCTCTGGAAGGCAAAACGAAGAAAACCCTTTTTCTTTCATGGCTTAATTGAACTCGGATTTCTTCTAGTGGTAAAATTATAGATTTCTCATTTTACATATCCCCACAAAAAGCAGAGGCTGTTATATTTAATTTCAGGGATTAAAAAACCATTTTTCTTTTAGTCACCCTATAAGGGCTCTTTATCCTATATTATTTTTCTTCACAGTATTTTATCACCACCTGAAATTTAAAATATTTGGTGATTGTTTTCCCACCAACAGCCAACCAACCATGCACACGCACACACACGTACACACACACTGAATAACAGTAATTATTCATGTTCCATCAACCCATCAAATGCAGTATTGCTTGTAAACTGTGCTTTAATTTCTGCAATCAGATACGATGCAGTGAGATACAAGTATAAATTTTCATTGTACATTCAGAAAAAAGCACATTTATACAGAGTTAGCCCAACAGCTTATTCCCTTAAAAAATTTTTTTGAACGTAATTAAAGCTAATTAATCTTCAGTGTAAAAACTTGGGAGGTATAAACAAACTCAAGATATTATACACAGTAAATTAATGTACATTTCCAAACTCGCACAGTGCATGTTAAAGGAAGTAAATGGTCTTGTTTCAGCTTTTACTGCTGAGCATAATCCACATGTCCCAATAAAAATTCACAATATATAAACTCACTGAGAATTCTGTACACAAATACAAGTTTATAGAAATCTGATTTCAAATATAAATACATAAATTGTCATGACCTTACATGTTACAACAGCTTATTTTTTTATTGTGATTTTTTAAAAAAATCATAGAAAAATATTTCAATGCACATGACAGGGCCATAGCCTTGTGCCTTTAAACCATACTTTGTGGGGTATAAAGCATCACACCGGGCATTTTCTGTTTTTGGAATGAAAATTACTAAGATCCTAAGACTGAAGAGACTACTGCATAAATATTCATGTTATAATATGGTAACAAAAATAGTTAGCTCCACAGTGTATTTGGGAGGCAATGGGGCAGAAAAGTGGAGGTTAGTGCTAATTTAAGAAGGCCCATAGAACATATGTGAAGGTAGCTAATGAACTACTGTATTTTTAAATCCCTATTGCAAGCCTAACACTGACTTCACTAGTGACCCTTAAGGCAACCGAGACTGGATATGTGTGTTTGGTCCACAATGAACGAATCCTGCCCTCCCTCCAACCTCTGTCATCGTAACACACCAACTTGGCTCACGTGTCAACGTGGAGCAGGGAGGACAGCAAAGCAATTGCTTGTACATACAAAAGACAATTCAGTGCAAACTGAGAAACTTTTCTTTGTCAATAGTTTCAAAATTTCTTATTGCCCTTGAACAACTGTTAAATTTTTCTAAGCATAATACTCAAATGGGATCTACACTGGAGAACAAAGGTATATAAAAGGCAAACATTTGATTGAAGCATTCTAACATCAGATTTTTTTCTCTCCTTCCTTTTGTGGCATTATAATGTGGTTCCATTGAGAATGAAAAAACTGGTCCTTACAAAGCACACTTTCCTGCATTTAAAAAATATATGTCAACAGATCCAAGAAGGTTACCAGGCATAGTTGTCAAGTTTCTTCTATGGCTTTTTAAATTGCTGAGGTACTACATGATAATCATCACTTCTGATATTTATGCTTCATTGATTCCCTAGGAAAGCCACCTCAAAAGTGACCCTAACTCATCAGAATGTAAGGTGACTGGAGACACCACCTGAAGACTGCTGCAGAGGACTGAGGTCACTAAGGTGTCAACATGCCCGGCATGCTGAGGGAAAGGCAAAGCAGTTACTTTCAAACACTGAGCGCTTCCAGAGAATAGAAGTTCCCCTGGGCAAACCAAAGAGACTCCCCAGTTTAACCAAAAGGGGGAGCAGCAAGATCCTGGGACTATGCACTGAGGCGGGAGCATGGAAGAACTGTGGCGCACAGCACAGAGCAGGCAGTGGCCAGGAGCTGTCAGCACACATGAACTGGGGTGCGGGTGGGTGGGGGAGTTGGCTGCCCCCCACACCACACACAGAGTGACAGAGTCTGTGCCGGGAAGGATGGTCTGAAATGCCAGGATGGATGACATGGGGCATTTCCCCAGCCTTTCTGCAGGCAGGAGGACACAGAAAGGAAAAATGCTATGGTTTGTTTAAATGAATGCCACACATCTTAATACTTCATTTGAGTCTTTTGACTTGCCATACACACGACATGAAGCTGAACTTGCTCCAAACCAAGATGGGTTAGACAGACAGTTACTGTTCCCAATGACTGGATAAATTACCTTGGCACAAAAGAGATCTGAAAAAAGTACTGAGCCCAAGAATATCTTACCAAAAGCCCTTTTCAGCAGTAAACCAGCCACTGCAGGTTCTGGTTAATACTTAACCCATCAAAAAACAGCTACAATTCTATTATGGGTCAAGTAGTAATTCCTTTCAATTAATAATACTAGAGATACGGTTTGAATTGCATAGTCTTTCAGGACCATGAAAAATAGAAATGAGAACCAGCTCTTCCCCAGGCTTTCTCCTACAGAGCCCTGCACGAATGCCCCTCCTGCCCAGCAGTGAGCTCAGCGTGAGGTGCTAACCCAGAGGTCAGATGTGCCAACTCCAACAGTCCTCTTTCACAATCACTGAACGGACAAGTCACACATCTCCTAGATCCACAAACTCATCTTCTCGCTTGGCCAAATCTTCTTCATCTCCCAAAGCTTTCCAACCACTGGTGGGCAAGACTGGCTTCGAGGAATGTCGCTGCAGCAAAGCGAAAGGAAACAAAGATGACAGGCGGGCAGAATTCCTCAGCAGGGAGGGGGCCTCAGCCTGGAGGGCCTCGTGGCTGTGGTGTCTCTCAATTTTTTCTTGTAAGCTCTGTACTTCCTCCATCATTTCCAAGAGTTTGCTCATGGTGGCCACTCGGCCACCACCCAGGATTTGGGCTTCTGGAATCCAACGCAAGTAGCGCTGGGCCCAGACTCTGATCTCCGGCCCCTCGATGTGAGGCAAGAGCAGACCATGGTAGTCAGTGGGCTTGCTATGCCAGCTGTCATAGAACTCTCGAAAGTTGTCTTGCAGCTCATCAGAAGAATTAATTAGTTTGCTAATTCTCTTGCCCAGAAGGTTTTTAATTAAATGATCTGTTTCTTCCCTGAAAAATCCTCTTTTGGGAGATGATTTAGATTGGGTGAGTGGCAAGGAAAGTTGCCGTTGATGCTTTGAAGGAAAGCACAAAGATCTCTGGTTAGCCTGAGAGCACCATTACAATTGTTACCACCAAAACAAAAAAGCGGGGAGAGGAGGGCATAATCCTGCTTTAACACGAGTCATGACACATCAGAATTGCCATGTGAATGCAAATTCATTAAAATGCTATAACACACAGAGAGAAGGGGGGTTCTTTTTTATTCCATGATGCAGATGTTCAGTACACACTGTATAAACACATGGGTGAACCCCCGTGCTTACAGAGCTGTACTGAAAGGCAGGCTGTGACGGAGAGGACGCTTTCAACCCCCACTTCCTGTCACTGGCACGCCACGGGGCACTAAGGAATTTTGAAGAACAAGCTTAACTTGAGTCAGGCTGAAGATTTAGGGGAGTTTGATGGGTAAGGCCTATTCATTTTTTGAAGAGAGCAAAGTTTCTTTGAGAACTTAGGGTTTTAGCTTCTATAACATTCTGAATATGTATAGACTACCTCAAGGGCCCATCTCTTTAATGAAGTAACTGTGTAGGTCAGCAGGCGGCCATCCAATAGGAGTTTAAGCCTGAATCATTCAGATTCTTTTGGACAAAGGACAGGTGGGAGGCAAAAAGAATTTGAGGAGCTGGCAGCTTGGCCAGATGTTCTTGTCTGACAAGCTGCACCGAGTAGAAAATGTGACAGCATTTACATTTTTTCCCTCCTTGGTAATTCTATCTACAGCCAAGCAAGGTGTTACACACTAGGGGGCACTGGGAAAGGGTTGTGAAAATGAGCGATGTGGCCAGAAGGCTGTAAGGGATCCCAGTGCCCAAAGGAGAAGGTAAGAAATGTGGGGAGAAGCTGATTCTCCCCAACTCTTTTGCTCCTGGAGTGTCCCTTAGAAATAAGAACAAGTAAGTTTTATGTTTATCCTAGCCCTATAATCTTAACATTTCTGCCACCAGTTCTTCCTCATTTAAAAAAAAAGTATTTTTTATTATAAAGGAAATATTTCCTCATTATGAAATATAGAATAACAATAATAATATAAGTAGAAAGCAAGATCATCCACAAAACCACAGCTCAGATATGACCAGGATTTTGATTCTCCATCTGGGGATAGGAGAGTCAAAGGCCAGGGGTCAGCGGCCGGCCTTTCTTCTCCCTAGTGATCAAGGTGAGTCGGGAGGGGCAGGGAACTGGGGAACACAGGTTGAACCTAACAGCCACTGAGTGTTTACTGCCTTGCCGGGTCTGTGCTCGATGCTTTCCACTCTCAATTTATCCAATTCTCAAAGTCACTACTATTGCCCCTTTTACAAATGAAAAAACTAAGGCACAGAGGTTAAGTAATCTGCAAAGACCCAGCTACCAAGTGCTAAAGGTAGTTTAGCATTATCTGTGCCGCACAGACAGTCTCACTCCAGAGTCTGGGCTCTTAACAGAACACTACTTATATTGAAAGCCCTTTCTCTCAATCCTTAAGTGAACAGAGCATTCAAGATAGGCCAGGTGGGAAAGGCCCCGTGTGCCCTGATCCTGGTCAAGGCCTGGGGCTAAGGCTGAGACCACAGACTTGAGCAGAGTCTGTAGCCTCACACGGTAATTCACAGAGCAGCACTTCATGCCACCGCCTCTTCCTTCTCTACAGAACTTCTCCAAAGCCACTTGTCCACTCAGCCAGGGGCCCCAAGTCTGACAGCTGGTCTCCTAACCCAAAGGCTTCAAAGTTCCTTGTTGCCCCAGCCCCAACTCCGCTTTAGCTACTATCTCTAACTCTTTACCTTGACCCTCTTATACCAGTCAGCACCTGAAGCCTAGGCCATCTGCTCCTACCCTCAAGGAGAAAGGTCACTTTGAAAAACTGCATCTGGGCAGAGAAATGAAATCCAGTCTTACAAGGTGGAGCCACATTTACCTCCCATAGAAAACAAGCGGTTAGGCCTCACTAGCTCTGAGGTAGGCCCACTGCCCCTCTGGCCTGGGGCAGTCCTGCCATCAAGACAGGGAGAGAAATGGGTGCGCAGCCACCAGGGGGCACAGCACAACTCCGTTCCAGAGCTCAGGAAAGTTCTGGTCTGGCTGGCAGAAAAGGGGCTGAATCAAAGGGGAAACATCCCCCCAGGACATAAAGACCCTTGAAAGGGCAAAGCGACAGTTCTAAGTTGTTCAGTCCCTGGCATCCCCTGTGAGTGCTGGCTTTGGCTCATCTGGGTCCCCAAGCCTCTTTAGAACGGAGCCACCTCCCGCACTGGAACTGCCAGGCCCCCTGAAGCCCTTCAGGAGCAGGCAGGATCAGAAGTATGACTAACCTGAGATTCACCACCACTGCTCTGCCCTTTGTGGGGCCTGGGGACAGTGGGGGAGAAATTCCAGGCCAGGAAATGCTGTGCAAATCATTTTGGGTTTGGGAACTTTGGGATTTCAGTAACTGCTAAAATCAGGAACAAATATCTGAAGGGAAATTTAAATGACTTGACATTTGTGGTGTATGGCATGGATCAGCCAACTGCAGCCCATGGGCCAAATCTGGGCTGCCGCCTGTTTCTGTAAATATTGGAACACAACCATGTCCACTTACTTAAGTGTTGTTTGTGGCTGCTTTTGCACAACCTCAGCAATCAGGGAGTTGTATAAGTGACTGTTCGGCCCTTGGAGGAAAAAATTATAGAACACATCTCATGAAGAAAGTCTTCTACCGAACCCATGATACTGGTACAGACAGAGCGAACCCTGTGCAATCAAGTTAGCCTATGCAGCACACACCCAGGCAGGGGAGGACACAATTCCATGCAGCATGACCCCAGCGGCAGCCAGCAAATGGCCAAGTCTTAGTGGGGCAAAGGCTAATTTGCTGAAGGCAAAGGATTCACATGGGCCCTGATGACCCGCCTGCCTCAAATCTCAACTCTGCAGACTGCTTCCAGAATCCATATGTAACCTTTGTCCTTACAAACACAGGGCTCTGGGGGCAGATGAAGGGGTTAGCCACGTGGACATCTTACTTTGAAGCGCATTCCTTTTCGCTGGCCTTTGTCCAGTTTGGGCTTTTCCACATAAAGAGGGTTTCTGAGCAACGTCTGAGCTTTGGGTTCAAACTGTACAGACCAGTCCCACACGGTGAGCAGATTCAAAGGCTTGCTTTGTGTATCCTGGCTTTCCCTACCCTGCCAAAACAAGCACAGGTCACGACGGCTTCCAGAGAGGCTGAGGAGGCAAACACACACACATGCTGAGCGGCAGGCACCGGGAAGGGCACTCCTGCCCCACCCTGGCACCGAACATTCTCGGGCACTTCATTTTTAGGCTGTGGCTGTCAGTGTTTGTTCACTAACAGCTTTAGGTAGAGGGGAGGGCGGGACGGTCACGTGGCTTCCCAGCAGGGCATACACCAGCCGCCGTGCTGGGCACCTTCACAACCACCTTATGAGGTCGCCATTATGTTTCCAGTTTATATTTAAGGAAGCCAGGCTCAGACCACGCAATGAACTGCCTGAGGTCACGGGGCTGGCCAGTGGCAGGGCTGGGATCCCAAACGGGTCTGCATGGCTAGAAGCCCAGTTTCTGTTTCCCTCTTCAGCCTGGATCTGGTAAAAGCCCTCCTGCAGGGCCAGCTCAGGAAGTCCTGAGCCCCACTGAAGGCTGGTTAGCAGCACTGAGCCTGCTCAGAGAGTTAAGCCTTCAGGAGCACAGCCACAAGAGAGACTAAAGTGGTTTAAGATGAAAATAAAAAACTAGCTTCCCCACTCTGCCTCGCCTCCTTTCTCTTCAGAGTAACTCCAGGCATCAGGCAAGTGCAAGAGAAGGCTAACCAACTTGACCAAGAATGTGGAATTCTGCTTAATTCCACAGCTCCAACACCTGCTCCCAGGACCAGAATTTACTGGAGCAAGTTACTCTTGCCTCTCTGTGTCTCAGCTCCTCAGGGACAGCAACGGGCCCCATCGGGTGCTGTGAGGATCAAATATAACACCTCAGAAGACAGGAGGCACAGGGCCTAGTGTGTAATCAGTGTTACATAAATATCACTTTTATCATCAATATTGAGTTCTATTTGTGAGAAGGGGCTTCTTCAATACCCAGGTTGCTAACAGGGACTCTTACCATGTTAGTATCTTTTTGACAAGGCGAATTGAAGAAGAAGGTGCTAAAAATGGGAATGTACAGGCTGTCTGAAAGAACGGTCAGGTAGGTCTCTGTGAAATCAAATGCTGGTGGATGCTGGTGTACCACCTGCCAAACACAATCTAAGAAAAGCAGGAACACAGGAACCTATGTGAAAACAAGACACACATTACTGAGCACGTACTACAGGTCCCACGCCAGCACACCCAAGTGCAGGTGGAAGCCATCTCAGCAGCTGTGCAGCAGCCCCTGTGGGCACTACAGTCTCTGGGACACACCAGACTCCATCCCATTGCAAGTGACAAATTTGCTCAATTGCAATCACAGACCTGTAGATTAATATCCACGTTTGTTGGTACCTAACTGTGTGAAAGACATTTCACAGATGAAATAAGTAGAATTTCACAATCAGTCAGGATTGACAGAGCATCATTCACACTTGACTTTAACAGGGAACACTAGCTTTGAACCCTAACTAAGTGAAATGTTATCTCCCCCCAAAAATGAATCCCATTCTTCTCATTAGGTGACTATATTACAAAATAACTGTAGTTAATTATTTTGAATTTTGTCAATACTCCCTTCTCTATCCTTATAATGAGGTTCTTGATGAAAACAGGACAGAAGGCAGAAGCAGCAAAAATGAGTTTCCAATATTTTTTTCCACAATTTTTTTAAACTGATGGCCTCCATTATTAGCCATCCAGAGGCAAACCCTTTATTGGTAGAGATAGGAGGTTTCTTGGGTACTTTGTCATTCACAAAGTATTTATCCTTCCCAGTCAACAGTGGGTAAGGCTGGCCACGTTACAGTCTCTCCCTCACAGAGGCTGGCCGAGGTCCCACGCACAGCTTGTAAGAGAGACATGAGATGGAAATCCAGCCCTTGAATCAAAGTCCAGTACTCAATCATATCATAGGTTAGACTACCCAGTTTTCCTTCAAAACCCCAAAACTCAATGTTGAGCTGCTAAGAAACATTTATAAAAAGCAACATTCACACATCTTATGCTCAGTATCATTAAACAAAGTGGAAAATATCCAAACCTCATTGTGCAGTCAGGGAGATGGGCTCAGAAAGTATGGGTGACTTCTCCAAAGGCTGCATGAACAGCAGATCACATCAGATCTGCTCTTGGACTTGCTTCCCATCAGATGTGGTGCCTGTCAGTCCTCATTTTCTCAAGATCAACAGAAACATACTCTTCCCCACATCGTATCAGCTCTCTCTGCCCATGGTGTTTTTTTAGTCCTATCAGCCTTTCAAATCATACATCAAGCCCTTCAGGGCAAGAGCCTGGCTCTCTTTTCCCACAGCATACTGTGTCAGACAGACAGGCTATTATCCAAAGAAAAACCATGAGTCAGGCACTAGCATATGACAGCTTTGCAGATTTAATTAAAGAAACTCCACCTGTTTTCATTTTTCCTTCTACAATCATTAATAATGCAGCCAAAGAGTTGTGCAGCTGTGGCTGAGGCAAACACACCACAATCTGGGGGGCTTGTTTACACTGTCTGAACGATACTGTTAACCTTCCTGTGCTTGAATTCAGCATTCAGACCTGGAGCAAGTCACACAGCCAGAAGGCAAAAAAGGCTGGGCACACAGCCACCACTGCACTCCCACTAAGACCCTGGTAATGGATGGCATTAACCCTATACTTATTTGGAAAAGGTTTATGCGCAAGGAAAATTTACTTTGTGTTACTATGCATTTTCTGTAGGAAACCTGCACTCTGAATATCCATTTTTTTTTGCAAAGACTAACTATGCAGAAATTATAGGCATCTCTCCCTGAGCTAAATTTTTATTTTTCACAAATCAGTATTCCCACCATGAAATATACATCCACCCTTGGTGTACACAATTTAGAAGAGAAGACTCTGAACACACTACTATCCCTCTCCTACTATTTAAATCTTTCAAAGTCTTCAAACAGTGAACTAAACACAGCCTTCCTAATAAGCCCATAGCACACACTTTGCAAGCAGCAAAGTTATACCTGAAGACAAATATTCCAGGCACTTCTGAGATAAGGACACTCACCTCCTCTTTGTCACTCTGACGTAGATGGTTGCAGCGATCCAGAAAACAGTGTCCACCCATGATCCACTCCTTTTGGATGAGGCTCTGGAAACCATCCCTGGTTCTACAGTGGGGGTCCATCATCACTTGTACCAGAGAGGAAATGAGGCAGCAGAGGTCGGAAGCATTCTCCTCTAGGAGGGGCCCCAGCAGCAGTGCAGAGAGGAGAGAAGGTGTGAATGTTAAAAAGCTGCAAACAGTGCTCGAACTTGCAGTTAACAGTGGGGTTCCCAAAACTAACGTCTGCCAGTTACTGACAGTTAAGCTCTAACTCCCTAAAGGCAAGGGCTAATAGGGAAACAAAGTTGTCAGACTGACAAATGGCTTCTAGCCTGTCTAGTACAGTTTCCAGCGTACACTGACACTCATTATGGATCTGCTTACTGAATGAATAAATGCAGCAAGTCCACTGTGTGCATGTGGGTGTGCAGAGGAGCCACAGAATGAGGGCAGAATCCTACACATAATGGTGACTTGCCAGGCTTTGCAGATCAACTTCAAAACTCTCTCAGCTGGTATGTCAAAGGCTCCACCACTGAACTCACTGTTCTAAGGCTCCGTTGCTTTGCAGGTACCTCTGGCCCCTTTTCTCCAGCAGCCCCAATTCCTCTACTACCTCTGCTTTGGAGAAAGTGTAATACTGCTTGAAGGCACCAAATGCTCTTATGCTCAGCTCCGGGTTCTTTGCATTCCTGTCTGAGAATGCAGAGGTGCCAGCTTCGCCTTGCTTAGCCTAGAGGACGGACTCTCCTCAGCCCACTTCAGCATGCCCATGCTGGGAGTGCATGGCACAAACCCATACGATGAGAAATTTCACTTACATGCCTGTTTAGCATTCACAGCAAATAAAAACATACATCTACATCCACGCATTTACCTTACAGCTTTAAGATCCTAAAAGACAGGGCTACATCCCATGGTTTCCTCTTTACAAAAAAAGCCGATTCAAGTTGGTATTTAAAAATGTCTGTGAGGATGCTGGCGCTAGTCTTAGTGCAGCCAAACAAGAATTCTAAGCAGGGAGGTACTTCCACTGCTAAAATGCTTTCATTTTAACCCCCAAACCATGAGGCACTACAGCTCCAGGAAAGCCCTGTGCTGCGTTTTCTCTTCTGAGGAGCAAGCCTAAACCACGGGAACACATGGGTTTAAAAGAAATAGATTTTACTTTTGTCTTTCTAGTGCTAACAGTTTTCACAAGTTTCATTTTTAAGGGAATCTCCCTTCTTGCATCTGAAGGGTGTTGACAGGCACACCCCTGGGTCATAGGAAGAGGGGCTGGAAAATGAGGTTTCAGATGAGAGAGAACTCAGTAGTTCATCTAGGAGCAAGTGACCTCTCGGTTACATCAGCCAAAGATTCAGGCAGTCTTTTCTGTAGCCCTGGACCAGTGTGGTCAGGCCCTGGGCACTTCCACCAAGCAGACCCCAACTACTGTCCCTTCTCCTTTCACCAGGTACTCAGTACTCAGTGCTATCATTGCTGGTTACATCTTTTTCAGTAACATGCTCAGGTCAATGCTCCCATTAGGTTGTAAACTTCTAGAAGGCAGGAGTATATGGGGGCTCTGCACATGGTAGGTACTCAGCCAGTGTATTAAAATCTAAGCCAGTGAGCCAGCATCAGGTAGTGTGGAAGCCACTGGCAGACATGGTTACCAGTTTGTCCAAAGGAGAGAAATGTCCGCAGTCATGGAGCATGTTAGAGAAGTGATGAAGGCTTGTGGGATGAGAGCATGAGATGATCTACTTCACTGAAGCATGGGACTATAAGAAATTTTAAACGTTCTAAACAGCAGACATAATATCTTGGCCCCAATCTAACCAATTACAGCAACACTCTTTGTTGCACAGTGGTTTACACTTGCTTTTACACATTCTCAAAGTTGATGTTCTGTTGGTATGTACGGTAAGTTAAGCCCACTGAGGAAAAGGAAATCACAGACCACAAAATTTCTGTGGTAACTGCACAAGGTGGTCAAACATAAAGAAATAAAAATAACAATTAATGTGAGAGAATGAAACTGGATCACTGTCTAACCCCATACACAAAAGTAAATTCGAAATGGATCAAAGACCTGAATGTAAGTCATGAAACCATAAAACTCTTAGAAAAAAACATAGGCAAAAATCTCTTGGACATAAACATGAGCAACTTCTTCATGAACATATCTCCCTGGGCAAGGAAAACAAAAGCAAAAATGAACAAGTGGAACTACATCAAGCTGAAAAGCTTCTGTACAGCAAAGGACACCATCAATAGAACAAAAAGGTACCCTACAGTATGGGAGGATATATTCATAAATGACAGATTCGATAAAGGCTTGACA